TGCTTAGCACTGTGTTGACTTGTTTGCTCTCTAGAAGTGGGTGTTTGTTAGTATGTGAAAGAGAAAAACTAATTGGTGCTTAGATACCAGTATTGTGAATTTGTGATAAATCACTAAAAAATATTCTAATAAGCCACATAATGACAGAGGAGGATACAGAGGACTGAAAGAAAACTATAATTGGAAAATTGATTAGAAGAGTGGCAAAAACAGAAACATTTCTAGAGAAGGGAAAATTTTTAAAAGCTGTGACTTGATAGAGTGGTAAAGTTTGGAGGTGAGTAAAGGTCTTCAAGAATGAACAATTTTTGTATAACTATGTATAAACTATATTATGATTCTAGTTGATTTTTATTGGTGTACTTTGGGAAGCCCTGCATAAGGCAGTTAAAATAATTAGAAGTTGTGATCAATAAGCATCTTGATAGAGTCAGGTAATAGTCAAATGTAAGACAAGCTATAGAAATTAAAAACAAACTTACAGTTAAAATCACATGAAAATTAGTATTTAGTTTGGGAACAGCATATTTTCAAGATTACAGATAGGAAGGTTAAAAAGAAATCACCATAAAGATGACTCGTGTGAGTTAAAGCTCAGATTAAAGGCCTTATCCTCCCAGGTATAAAAATTGTCAACTGCATTGTCACTAAGCTAAAAATGTGATATGAATGCTGTTCTGTATTCCTTTACCAATTTTAGATAGAAACAGTTTTCATTTTAATGAGAGGTTCATTGGTGGATGATTAGTAGCAATGATTCCCCAGGCTTTAATCACTTGGTATCTTGAACAGGAAAAGATTGCATGGCCTGATGTCACTGTCCTCTCTTCGGTGTTGCCACAAAGGAAAAAAAAAGACTGTTCACAAATGTGTGAAACTTATTTGCATTTGCTCTTGGAAAAAGTCAAGCTGCTAGGGAATTTTTCAAGTTAACAGTTTTTGGTAGAAATTGTTGCTTTATCAAACCTGAAACCTCTCTCATATCAAGGGTAGTTTAAAGAAGCTTTCTTTAGGAAGCTTTAATTTCAAATAGCAAATAACTAATTTATTGAAAATGGAACTGCTCAACAAGAAACCTTGAGAGAAATCTGCATTACAATACCCAGAGCCTAATCATTGGGGCATTATCCTTTAAGACATGAGACTTTGGTTCGATTTCCTTTTCTGAATCCAGCTGAATAGAGACTTAAACCTAGTTGAATATCTAATGCATCCAAGGCAACTGTCATTACCACTGGACTATTGTCTGTGATGGGTTGGGTATCTCTGCTTTTGTGGAAATTGTGAAAGGATTTGTCCTAATACTAACAAGACCTTTCTGAAATCTCCAGAATTCTTATAGACTAGGAAAGAACCTTTGTGCTTAGCTTTATTCATAACCCTCAGGCTCTGGAAAAACGCCTGTAATAATCATTATTTTATATGTTAATACCAGGCAACATTTATTAATCTAGACTCTAAACTAAATCTCAATCTCAGACTCCATATAGAGCTGTCTTTCCATGCCTCTGGTTATTCTTGTAGGCTATTTCATGTTTTTCTCTGTTTTTCCTATATCCACACGTTTAACAGTTTACCCAAATCTTCCTAGTAGTAGTACTTGGGATATACCAGCAATTAAGTCAATGGCATTTTTCAATATAGTTTTCTATCTCTCTTTTTGCACCTTGTACCTTATTATGACAAGCTGAACTCAGTGGTGGTCACTGTTGAAGATGCTTCTAGTTGAAATGTGCACTTACTGAAAAAAAAAAAAGAAAAATAATAATAAAAAAAAACAACCAACCAAACAAACAAAACAAAACCTGTCATAAGTAATTTGATTGTGGTTGGAATATTGTTTTGGAATATGCAGTTGATGATGGATTCCATGAAGCTACAGGAATCAGGATTGTTTTGTGCCCCGTCAGTGTGTAGGTATTCTTCTGAGATTACCAAAAGGGATCAGTTACCTTGGTAATGTGTCCACCAATATTTATTGTGTCTATTTCTTTACACAGGCTAACAAACATTCATCATGTGGGA